TATATATGGAACAACTTGTTTGTAGAACGGTCGTTATCGCAAGGAAGTGCTTACCAGATTTTGTTTACTTTGAACATGAATGGCACCAAATCCACCGTTTTCTAATTTCGGAAATTTTTTGGAAAAATTGTCATGTTCTATGATTCCAACGGCTAAGGTAAGGTATTGGTGATTGGCGCTTCCCACGCTCACGTCTCGGGCTCAATTCATGGATCAAATCTCACCAAACCAGAGGAAGCCTTCATATACCCGGGATCGGTTAATTATAATAGGAATAGGATCGTATAAAGGATAAAGGATAAAGCATTTGCCGTTGATCAATCCCTTTTTGGGATGCGGCACGCATTCTACTTCCATTTGTACATTCGTAGTGGCGTTTGAATGCGATGTGGCCTATACAATGACTTGCGGGGGCCAGCCGATGTACAAGTCAGTGTTTTTATCCTCCCAGACAAGTCTGGTACCAATTAACCGACCCCGGAGGGATGGAAGGCTTGGTTGGCCCGGGCGACTCACGACCCAGGATTTGATCCCCGGACCGCGCGTGGTAAGCGTGCCACTTGCCACTACACCACTTCCGCCCGTAAGACTTGTGATGTTAATATCAATGTGCATTCCCAAACCGCCCTCCCTCCTCCCCATCTGAAGGATCCCATTTCTTGATTGTGCTCATTTAATATCGATTCAGTTTTTTCTTCAATCGCTAATTGCACAGCGTTTTTTTAGACTAGCAGCCTACGCTTTTTCTCAATTTCGTCGCCTACCGACAGTTAGGGCACGAATCGAGAAGGAATTAGCAGGAGCCAAGAAAGAAATTCTGGAGACTATACACAAAGACGACACTGATAGAATCTTCTTATCCGGTACCATTTTATTAAGCGCAAAGGCTTGAGAAAGTAAGCAATGAATGAGATTTTTCACAGAGATACCGGCTAATGGCTTGTCCACGGATGCAGTGGTTAATCTAGCTGATAGGTATGATTCTTATGGCAAATTCGATATTGCTGAGGGGCGAGTTTCGGGTGCCGTTTACACTGATAGATCTCCCGAACATATTGCTTTACTTACTAAGGTGATCGGTTAATACTTTTTCTTTTTCTTCCACAAAGACGTTTAAGAACGTTTCGTTTCAGATTTATGCCAAATATGCTTACTCTAATCCTCTTCACCCGGATATTTTTCCTGGTGCACGGAAAATGGAAGCCGAAACAATCCGCATGGTGGCGATTTTGTTGTTTGTTGTGATTTACAAAGGTTACTTTATCTTTCCGTGATGAAGATCTGCTCCAGGTTCTCAATCTGTATAACGCACCATCTGAGAGCTCTGGTAGTCTAACAACTGGTGGTACAGAGTGCATAGCCTACAGAAAACAGGTGATTTCTATTTGTATGTTTGAAAGTATCAAACATTGTTCAATGCAGCATTTGCAGAGCTATGCAAATGGGAGTGGAGAGCCCTGTGATCGTTTGTTCTGTAACTGCCCACGCTGCTTTCGATAAGGTACGTACATCCTGTTGGGTAACTGCAAAAAGATGATCTGCTTTTCACCCTACAACATCATATCGAGCAGAGCTGGAATGTTCTCTTACATGCTGCTCACTTCCAAGGGTTCTCCATGTATAACGAACGTTATGAGTCAGCGTTCAATAAGATTTACTCAATGTAACCTCGAAGTCGAGGCACCATAACTCTTCAGATTATCCTCACGTCCCTACGCACGCTTTACTTTGCTTTGGTAACTCATCGTAACCATTTTACTGCAGGCGGCCTTCATATGTGGTATGCGCATTCGTCACATTCCGGTGGATGAAAACAATCGAGTCAATTTGAGCAAAATGGAAAACGCCATAGATTCTGACGTTTGCATGGTGAGTTTTGTAGCTCCACTTTTCTAAGCTCTGTGCAGAGTTTGCAATGTTGACGGTAGATTGTTATTGCAGCTTGTTGCTTCGGCGCCGAATTTCCCATCGGGAACAGTCGATCCTGTTCCAGAAGTTGCACAGGTGTGTAGCACAACGACTCAAAATTAGGAAGATCTATTACAATTAGGCAGCATGCTTGTGAGATCGATGGTTTTCAGCTGGGAAAGAAGTACAACATTCCGGTTCACGTCGATGCGTGTCTGGGAGGATTTCTTATCCCATTCATGGATGAGTGCGGTTTTGACATCCCAGTTTTTGATTTCCGCAATGAAGGTGTAACAAGCATCAGCTGTGACACTCACAAAGTGAGTTTGGACTTCAAAGAACTCTAGCCTAGTAATTACTTTGTAATTAATTCCGATTTAGTATGGTTGTACACCAAAGGGCAGCTCTATAGTAATGTATCGATCAAAGGAGTTGCTTCATTACCAGTACTTCTCTGTTCCAGAATGGACTGGTGGTATTTATGCCACCCCGACCATCTGTGGTTAGTCACAAATAATTTTGCCTTGGGAAGTTATATTATGGTATCAAAATGTTCTGTAATAAAGAAATACCTGATTAATATTACAGGAAGTCGAGCGGGTGCTAATTCGGCTGCAGCTTGGGCCACTCTTTTGTCGTTCGGAAAGAAGGAGTATCGCAGAAGATGTCATGAGATTGTCTCTCACACGAGGAAAATAGCTGCAGGCGTGCAGCAAATAGCTGGTTTAGAGGCTAGTATAGTTGTCGAGATTTTTTTCTGTTATATCATTGCATTTTTTGAATTTTTTTTTGCTTCATGCCTACGCTTGTGGGCATTCCCAAGACTGGTAGTTCCACGCGCATGTCTTGACACAGGAAGTTAGCGAAGTGGGTGCCATGACTGAGAGCCTTTTGATGGCGCCGTTTGCCGTCATTGGTGGGCGCTGGGGGTGTGGTTGGGTCTGCTTCCTAATACCCTTCCTCCAGTGACGCTCAATGAACATCGCGTCTGCCTTCGGGAGAGCGTATAAAATTTTCTATAAAGAACGTAAAAAAGAAACTTGGAAGTTGTAAGCCGGGGCGTTGACACAGAAAAAAACTCCTGGCATTCTGTTAAAAGTGAAGATCGCTATTAACTTTTTGCACTTCACTTGCCGCTTCTCTTTTTTTCAGTGGTCGTGGTATCAAGCATAAAGGATAAAAGGATAAAGCATTTGCCGTTGATCAATCCCTTTTGGGATGCGGCACGCATTCTACTTCCATTTGTACATTCGCAGTGGCGTTTGAATGCGATGTGGCCTATACAATGACTTGCGGGGGCCAGCCGATGTACAAGTCAGTGTTTTTATCCTCCCAGACAAGTCTGGTACCAATTAACCGACCCCGGAGGGATGGAAGGCTTGGTTGGCCCGGGCGACTCACGACCCAGGATTTGATCCCCGGACCGCTCGCGTGTGTAAGCGTGCCACTTGTCACTACACCACTTCCGCCGGTATCAAGCATAGCATGTAGTATTATTTTTGTTATCCCGAAGAATTTTGAGCTTTTAGCTGCATGGTTCTCCTGACGTGTCCGTTGTTGCATTTAAAAGTTCTGTATTCAACATCTATGCAGTGAGTGACAAAATGAATAAACGAGGGTGGAACCTAAATACGTTGCAGAATCCGAACGCGTGAGTGAAAGAACAATGCTTATTATTTCAAAGACGTTACATAAATCTCTAACCCATTGTTGTTTAGCATTCATATCTGTCTCACCTATAATCACGCCAGCCAAGAAGTGGTGGATGCTTTCTTGAGAGATCTCAAAGAAGTAGCTGATGAAGTAAGCAGAAGTAGTGACAAAGGGAACAAAAGTAGTACGGTAAGCAGTTGTGGTTCTTTGCATTTTTTTATCCATTTGGAACAAGTTTCTTTAAGGCTGCTCTCTACGGTATGGCTGCTCAAATTCCCGACAAGTCCTTGGTAGATGAAATGACGTACGAGTTCCTGGACGCGTGCTACGCAAAACCACCTCTCCATTGATCTGGATATGTTTCTCAATATTCGTTGCCATATTTTTTTTATCTATTTGTTCGTGTGTTGCTGGTCATTCAGTTCATTTTTATTAAAGGACTCGTGATATTCTAAGTCATTTCTCATCAAAATGCTTCTTTCTTGATTCGAATTGTCACTCGGAGGTTCTTAACATATCCATACTTTGTCACTTTTTATGAGTCCGCTGAGTCTTTTGTATAAACAGTTGTAATATTTCATACTAATGTTGAAAGACGGTTTAACACAGCAACTACTTCCAAGTTTTCGGTGCCATGATTGATCAATCGATCAGATTTGTACGTCCTCCATGACAAACCATCAGCGCTTGTACAGTGATATGTACATCACTGAGGCAACGTTCATACTCAGCGTTCTGAGAGATTTAGAGTTTCGAAGTAAAACAGGAGAGAATAGGTGCTGGTTAGCATAAC